GCTGCCGCGGCCTGGGGCCCTCGTGACCCACCTCCGGAGCGCGGGCCTGGGTAATGACCCCCCAAGGACTGAGGGGCACCCCTGAGGAGGAAGGGCGTCCCCCGCCCGGGGGCTCAGCCAACCTGAGGAAACCTCCCCGGTCAGACCCAAAACCTCAACGCGCCGCCTTCGGGGTACCTCACCCACGCGAGCACCTTCCGGGGTACCTCACCCACGCGAGCACCTTCCGGGGTACCTCACCCACGCGAGCACCTTCGGGGTACCTCACCCACGCGAGCACCTTCGGGGGTACCTCACCCACGCGAGCACCTTCGGGGGTACCTCACCCACGCGAGCACCTTCCGGGGTACCTCACCCACACATGCACCTTCGGGGGTACCTCACCCACACATGCACCTTCGGGGGTACCTCACCCACGCGAGCACCTTCGGGGGTACCTCACCCACGCGAGCACCTTCCGGGGTACCTCACCCACACATGCACCTTCCGGGGTACCTCACCCACGCGAGCACCTTCGGGGGTACCTCATCCACGCGAGCACCTTTCAGGGGTGCCTCATCCACACGAGCACCTTTCAGGGGTGCCTCACCCACGCAAGCACCTTCGGGGGTACCTCATCCACGAGACCACCTTCCAGGGGGTGCCTCACCCACATGAGTACCTTCCAGGGTACTTCACCCACACATGCACCTTCGGGGGGTACCTCACCCACACGAGCACCTTCCAGGGGGTACCTCACCCACATGAGTACCTTCCAGGGTACTTCACCCACACATGCACCTTCGGGGGGTACCTCACCCACACGAGCACCTTCGGGGGGGGGGGATACTTCACAAACCGCAACACCGTGTTACCAAGGACTCTCCCTCATAATCACTTTTAATCTGTAGACCACTTCCAAACAATACACCACAGTTTCCCGGATGACTCTCATCTGGATAGTTTTTTATTTTTTTAGTGCTATTTAGATTTTCACATTGAGCCCAGCCTCTCACACACTAAGCAGGTGCTCACCACTATGCTACACCCCACCCCTGACCAGTTCTTAATCTGATCTACATATACATAAACTCATGTGTCCAGTGTACTGGTAGAGGGGGCTCGGACTCTAGGCCTCAAGCTGTCACAGCCTGACCTCTGCCTCTTGAGCCACACCCCTAGACCAGCGATTTTGCTTAGGTGGAGATGGAGTTTCTCAGACTTCTCTCCCAGAGCTGTCTTCCAGTCGTGATCCTCAGATCTCAGCCTCCTGAGTAGCCAGGATTGCAGGCATGAGCACCAGCATCCAGAACATTGTACATTTTAAATGAACAAATTTTATGGCATGTGAATTATATTCCCATATTAAATAGTGTAAATAAGGCCTCACAAAGTAGGTACCAGAATGTTGGGGCCAAATCTCATGTTCTTCCTTACAGGGTAGCATCTTAGGCTCAGGCTCTCACAGATCATGTTTAAAATGTTTATTTCAGATACAGTTCAAATAGTTTCTGTTATCTGGCTCTTTGTTCTCTGCAGCTGGCTAGAACTGAGTTGGGAGAGCAGTGATGCACTCAGAGAAGCCCAGAAGGAACGTCTGCAGAAACAAATATGAAACAGACCACAACAAGCTGCAGAGGTAAGGGGTTCTGTTCCTGGTTCACCTTGTCCTGGAGAGACACCCCCCCCCAATCCCCCTCCAACTATATATAAAAGTGTATTTTTAAAATTTATTTTGTCAGTCATGGGGCTTGAACTCAGGGCCTGGGCACTCTCCCTGAGATCTTTTAACTCAAGGCTACCACACTACCACTTTGAGCCATAGCTCTACTTCCAGTTTTCTGGGTAAGAGTCTCACAGACTTTCCTGCATGGGCTGGCTTTGAACTGTGATCCTCAGATCTCAGCCTCCTGAGTAGCCAGGATTATAGGCATGAGCTACCAACGCCTGGCACATTCTTATTTATATTTGTGGTTATGGTAAGTACATCCTGGGGCCTTTTGTGTGTATTGGGTAAATGCTTCACCACTGAGCTACGTTAGCAGCCCTAAATGTCCTTTAAAAAAAAAAACAACAAACTTAAGCTAGTAGCCTTCTGAAATTAGGAGATGACAAGTCACAGATATGCTGCTAAGATCCAGCAGATGAAGAATGTCATCAGTCATGTAGGCGATAAAACAAGCATTGGCATGAATGCAGAAAATTACAAGGGAGAGGCCCTGCCTTGAACTAATACTAAGAACAGCAGTGAATAAACAATAGCTCCTAAAAGCAGTGAGTGCCCACAAGAAGCACAGGCAAGAGCTTCCAGGGAGCCCCATGGGTCTGGGACCATTTAGTAAGAGACCAGGTGTGCCTGGGGGTGTCATTCGGCTATATAGCAGGGTGAGGCTGCCGTTTGTCTCAGTAGCCTTGAGCTACACAAAGCCAGACAACAGAGATAATCATTTTTGTTCAGGAGTATCTTCAACAAAAAAGATGTTGAAATATTTAGGCAGTTTAAGATAACATTTTTACTTACTTGGCACATACACCTGCAAAGCCTCCATGTATGATGTCAGAACACACGGATGTGGTAACTGTGTTTATGTAGACTCCTAGGAACAGATCCATCTCCTAAATGAAGAACAAGTTGGTAGCAAAAGCAGAGAATGATTAAAAATCTTTCTCTTTCTTTCCCCATGACCTTGAAACTGAATCTGTCATGAAACATAAAAATAAAATCCTTTCCCTTTTATTTATTTTTTTTATTTATTTATTTATTTTGGTTGGTCGTGGGGCCTGAGCTCTGGGCCTGGGCACTATCCCTCAGCTCTTCAACTCAAGGCTAGCACTCTACCACTTGAGCTACAGTGCCACTTCCAGCTTTTTTCTGCTTATGTGGTGCTGAGGAATCAAACCCAGGGCCTCATGCATGCAATGCAAGCACTCTACCACTGAGCCACCTTCCCAGCCCTTCCCTTTTATTTATTTTCGTCAGTCATGGGATTTGAACTCAGGGCCTGGGCACTGTCTCTGTGCTCTTTTGCTCAAGACTAGTGCTCCACCACCTTGAGCCACAGCTCCACTTCTGGTTTTCTGGTGGTTCGTTGGAGGTAAGAGTCTCACAGACTTTCCTGCCTGGGCTGGCTTTGAACCCTGATCCTCAGATCTCAGCCTCCTGAGTAGCTAGGATTACAGGCATGAGCCACTGATGCCCAGCTCTGAATGAATATTTCAAGTCATTTTAAGCAACATATTTTAAATTTAAAAATAACCTTAGTCACAGATGTCATATGTTTGACAAACTAAAAATAAAAAATACATCATTTTACATGATTTCATCCATATATATAAAAAAAGTGCGTGTCAGGAGGCATCTGCTGAGCATCATAAAGCTGCACCCATGCAGCTTCAGGCAAAGGTGAACAAGAATTTGGTCAGCCTGGAACAGGCTGGACTATGGAGGGGCTAATCAGGGTGAAATGGTCATGCTCCCAGAAGCCTCAGAGGCATTCACTCTGAGCCAGGACACTGACAATAACACGGAACACATACTCCCCCAACTCCCCCCACTGTCCCAGGACTCTTCAAACTTCAAGCAAGATGGCAGCTAAGCTTGGCTGAGTTACACTTGAACTAGATCTGCTAAGGAAAAGGGGCAAACAGCAGGGAGGCTTGTCCAGAAATGCCTTGAAAGCAGTTCTTACTGCTATCTCATTCAACACAATTTCAGAAACCAAGTAACAAAGTATCGGCTGCATGGCTTCTGTGAGGTTCATTATGAGAAGCCATGTTCTCCTCTTACCAACCCCACCCATTATTGCATTAGTAGCCAAGTGGGGACTTGCATGCCTTTGGCTCTAAAGGGCAGTGTCTTATTTGAAAACACCGCAGGGTGATGCTAAGTTTACAGTTGATTCAAAGGCCAGACTCATCAGTAGCTGATAAAAATGTTCTAGAAGTTTCCTTGCTTTCCCTTTCCCCAGCCTCCCTGCCTGCCCTCACAGTGGCTAAAGTGGTGGATATGATCAAAATGTATCATGTGTGTTTATGGAAAGAGACCCTCCTAGACCTGGCACAGTGAATATGTAGGAAAAATGTGAAAAAGGGGGCTGGAGGTATGGCTTAGCTAGTAGAGCGCCTGCCCAGAGCAAGTTCCAAGGTCAAGTCCCAGTCTCAGACCAAAAAAAGTGAAAAAGAGGTTGGTCACAGGCCTCCTTGGCCTCTAGAACTGCCAGTGTTTTCCCCATGCTTCAGTGTGTTCTCTCGGTTGTTTTTTGTTGTTGTTTTCACCATGCGTCAGCGCATTCTCTTGGTTTTTTTTTTTTTTTTTAATTCCCCTTCAGTGTAGCTGCTGAACAACTGAGTAGTTTTCTAAGTGGACGTTGGTCTTCTAACTTTGACGTTGGTCGGGTGCACGAGACACTGGGCACAGGCTCTGATAGCAGGAAGAGTGGCGAAGAGCAGGGCCTGTCCCTCTCCCTTCCTTCCCTTTTTCTAATGTTTCCATTCCGTGATTTCCCCTCTCAGAGGAAAGTGAGTGGCACTGCGGAGTCACTTCCTTAGGGTCCAAAGTTGCCTGTTGTCCTGCCACAAGAACTCTTTGCAGTGTCATCTGCTAGCTCCCTCCCTGCCCTCCACCTCGTTGCTTGGTGCAGAACACCCTGTGCCTTCTGTTTGCCCAGAACTGCCATTTGGCTTAGGTTTGGGCCGCAGTCTCTGAAGGTCTGCTTCCCTCAGCTCAGGGGGCTGGATTTATGCGGGATATGGCTCTATCTAAGTGACTGTCATTTCTATCAAAGTCCGTTTCATATGTGACTATTGGCTTAAATGCAGGTGGGCATTCTGGTGTAACTAGAATGGAAAAAAAAAAACTACTCCTGAGACACATTATGTGTTGAAATAATTCTGTCCTTAGTCTGAATATAGCATTACAATGTAATACTGTGGGCTGGGTGCCGGTGGCTTGCACTTGTAATCCTACTCAGGAGGCTGAGATCTGAGGGTCTCATTTTGAAGCAAGCCAGAAGAGGCAGGTGAACCTGACATTGGAAGTGGAGGTATGGCCCTAAGTGGTAGAGCACCAGTCTTGAGCACAAGAGCTTCCAGACTCCCTCTTCTCAAATGCTTTTTTGACTCTAGTTTCATCCTGTCTCCTTCATTCTGACATTAACTCAGATCACTTCTTCTGAGCAGCCTCAGCCCTCCCTGCAGCCCCCAAGGCGCCACCTTCGCTTCTAGAACAGTCTGTCCCAGCTGTTTTTGCTTTTTTTTTTAAACCAGTACATTCTATTTATTTTTTTTGGGGGGGGGGTCTGGTCGTGGGGCCTGAACTCTGGGCCTGGGCGCTGTCCCTCAGCTCTTCAGCTCAAGGCTAGCACTCTACTGCTTGAGCCACAGCGCCACTTCTGGCTTTT